TTTCAGGTATGTGCTATGCATGTGCTAAACAGTAAATACACTGATTTATGAATGAAAACATGCTGAGGAGGTATCGCTACTTACACTACCAGTGTGAAGACCTTCAGCACTTTTATGTTTGTACTGTAGATGAGAATTTAGTTTAAATTGGGGTTTTGATGCCAATACATGATATTGGTGGAAAAGTAATAGGGTAAGAGCTAGCAAGTTAAAACTGTTAAAGCTGTTACACATATGAGAAGGAAAAAGATGATGATACAGTAAGAAAAGCAGATGGGTTATGCTCTTCAAGAGCAGAAACTATACATTTTGTCACATAATTGTACTAGCAAGACAGTTCTAGAACTGTGTAATATTTCATTCTCAAAAAGGCACTGTATGTGGAAATTCAAAAGACCTTAGATTTCTGAGTTTATTTCTGTTTGAGATTTTAAAAGTTGAAAATTGAGTTTACTAAAAGCAAGGTAATATCTTTTAAGTTCCTGAGTTTCATAAGAGAGCTGTCCTTGAAGAGAAAATACCCACCATTATTCCTAGAGAAGAGGAGCCTCCTTTCTATGAAGGTACATCAGTGACACGTCTACCAAGCAGTAAATTGAAGGGACTATATCAACTCATGTTCTAGATTGTTCTGTAAAACATGAAACACTTTCAATTTATTTTTTTATTTATTTAAAAGTAATTTCCATCCATATCTGTGATACCCTTATTCCCCCTGAACTTAGTAATAATTTAGCATGGGAGAAAGAAACATAAATAAGAGTGAAGCTAGGTTTCTGATCCAGGAAAGCACTTTAGTCACACTGGACCAGAGAAATGAAATTATATAGACACTGGTTTAGAAGCCATCCAGAGTAACAATTAATTTTTGAGCTGGGGTATACATAGTTCATGCCAGATGAGGACATGTGAAATTCAATTACAATTTCTGTTTAATACACAGAACTAAGTAACTAGAAAATAAAATTAAATATTTCTGTAAACTTTTATTTTACTAACTGGGAATGGTTGCTTCTAGTGATAGTAGGTAAATGATCAGGTAGAAATTAGATATTTAAATAATTTTATGTTCAAACAGCTCTCTGTCCATATATATGTCTTCACTTTGGCATTATGTCAATCTAGTATTGTCTTGTAAATAATGTTAAAATATGTAAAATAAACTAATATCTTTAAAGAGCCTGAAGTTTACAGAGAAGTTCCAACAGAAGAAGAAGAAGAAGAAGCCCCTGTTGTTATTCCTAGTCAACCAGAAGCTCCAGCAGCTAAAGGTACACCAAGTATTCAAGCAATCTACAAAGAAACACATGCCCTACAAACTAGCTATTCATCTTCATCATTAGACCCATGTGCCAATCTGTTATTTAATATGTTCATTCTGATATTTTCTTAGATGTTATGTGTCTGTCATTGCTTTTTTTGTTATTTACATTCTTTAAAAAATGTATTATCTTTGAAGTACCTGCAGTGACAAAGAAAACTGTTGCACAGAAGAAAATACCTGCTGTACCTACAGAAGAAGCTGCTCCAGCTAAAGGTACATGAGCCCCAAATGGATTTTGTCTAGCCTCTTTCAAAAGTGAGGTATAAACTGAGAAATCCAACATGTTTTTCTTAAACGACATGACCAGGTGCTATATACACTCTTTTCTTCCATTTGATCTCTTGTAAGAGTAAATTTTGTCCCTTTGTTTGCTTCTATCTTAGAAACAGAGTATACATACAGAGAGATCAGGGATTAAAACCAATAGTTTATGTTCATCTAAGGAACAATTATTAAGACAGAAAAACTTATCATTCAAGAAAAAAAGTGCAAGGAACATTTTCCACAGGTTCATACTTTTGCCTCGTGTTAGCAACTGCTCAAACAGTATGGCGCATTCTGCATCAAGAATTAAAAAAAAATGAGAGAAATATAAAGAAAATATAAAGAAATTTCGTAGACAGGAAATTCATATCAGGGCTTTTTATTTTTTTTTACTTCTTGTCTCATGTTCTATTTCCCAAAATACTTTCTCTGACAATATATTTTTAAAAAGCCTTAAAAGGTTGTGGCAGAAGCTTGTTTGCAGAAGCACTCTACAATCATGTCAGGGGTTTTAATAAATTTAAGATTAATGTAAGACTTTAAATAAGGACAAAATACAAAGCCCCTTTTTTTTCATAGAAACATAGTTTTTAATGAAATTCCAAATGTTTCAAACATCTATGGAGTTCTTAAAACTCCATAGATGTTTGAAACATACTATTTAGTTAATTTTACTGCAGTTTTGCCTTGCTTCTATAGGTAAATTGATTATTTTCTTTTTTAAAAGAAAACCCTTTAAATTGCCAAAGTTCTTAAGGAAAAGAAAGAAACCAAAACCTGTTTGTCTTTTGAGCAAAGAGAAAAATCAGACCTGTAAGTATCAGGAAATAGAAAAGTTGTGAACTCCAGAAAGTGAAGTTCTTGAGTTGTATTCGCAGATTAATACCATGTATTTTCATTCTAGTACAATTTTTTACTGTTTTACAAGACTGTACTACTTCTTTCCTAGTACAAATTTCTAAAATAAACCAATATTTTAAAGTTCCTATAGTACCAAAGAAAGCTGTCCGCAAAGAAAAAATACCTCCTCCTCTACCTAAAGAAGAAGCTTCGCACTTTGCAGGTACAATAATTTTTTAGTAGGATTTGAAATATAAAAAATATGTTTTCATATATAAATCTCTGATTATTTTGAGAGCATTCTGCCTACAATAAAGTTTAGTTAGCAGCTTTCGTCAGCTGCAACAGTATAAAATTAATTAATTAATTAAAAAATCATCTGCAGGGTTTTTTAAGGGGAAAATTATCTTTTTGTGCAAGGGATAATTGCAATGGACTCTGGTATTTGGGATCAGTCTGAGGGAAAAAAAATAGAATAGAAAATGTGACAGCATATATAGACAGGGCCTGTCTCTGCACTCAAGCCCAGTTCAGGACACAACATCATAGAGTGGTTTAGGTTGGAAGGGACCTTCAAAGGTCATCTAATTCCACTCCCCCTGCATTGAGCAGGGACATCATCAACTAGATCAGGTTGCTCAGAACCACATCCAGCCTGGCCTATCACATATCACTCGTCTTTCTCCTGGCAAGCTGAAGAAGTCAGATCAGGGTAGAATCTGAGATTTTTTTTCTTCCTTCATTTGAAAGCATGGTTATTTAGATGGTAAATATAACACAGACCCATGTATCTTTGGATTAGCTTGAAGATTTGATTCCATTTGTTATTTTTTACACTGTTGTTTTCTGAATATATTCCAAGTTAATTTAAATACTTAATATCTTTCAAGTACATGAAGTTTATAAGGAGATGCACATAGAAGAGGAAATTTCTACTGTTTGTAGAAAAGAGGAAGCTCCAGCACCTAGAGGTATATGTCTTCTTCATCATCTCTTCCTGCAATTTGCAAAGTCATGAACTCCAGAAAAATAATTCTTGTTCATGGTTTAGTTTCTTGTTCGGTGTAATTACTTTCTGTGTTCATTCTTTTAGTACCTTTAGCGCCTATAGTACCAACAGTTACTTACAAACCTAGGATTTTTTGTGATTTGTCTTTCTATTCTATATAAATTCTTAAAATGAACTAATATCTCTAAAGCGCCCACAGTCATTAAGAAAACTGTTACAGAAGAAAAAGTGCCTATTGCTGTGCCTAAAAAAACAGAACCTATTCCTGTGCCTAAAAGACCAGAACCTCCACCATCTAAAGGTACTGTGATAGCCAGATAGAACTGAGGTCTTTTGAAAGTAACCATCTTTTCTGTTCTTACACGTTTTCTGCTTTAGTAGTTCATGGTCCATTTGTGTCAGATTTGTGGCATTTATGTTGTATATGTCCCTTTTCCCATTTCTTAACTTGTCTTTATGTCATAACATGAAAATTAAAGTCAGTAAATATCTTTCAAGTGCCTGAATTTCCCAATAAAACTATTCCTGAAGAAAAACCTGCCCCTCTGCCTAAAAAGCCAGAAGCTCCACCTGCCAAATCTATGAGTGAACATATCTTTTCTTTCTCCTTTTTTCTGTCCTCTGTTTTGTCATTATTGAATCATTAAATAGTTGAGTTTGTCTATTTCTTCTACCCAAGAGTAATCCATTGTGATGGCACAGAAATTGTAACAGAAACTAGTCAAAGGGGCTAAAAATAAAGAAAACTACTTGAGTCAACATGCAGTGAGATTTACAGAACAAACAATTTCACTACATGGGTGTTTGTAGGTACTGTAAACAGCTTCAGAAATTCTATCAATACTCAAGCAAGAAGTATATATGCTTCCTCTTTCACTTTGCATATGTTAAACTTAGAGGTCAATTGATCTAATTTTGAATTGAAATAGCATTAGTCACAGGAACCAGTTGTTACAGTTCATTCAGATACTTCAGAAATCTGCCTGAACTAGCAGTTTTCGTGGCATGTCATCACTGCATGACAAAAGATCCCCAACAATGTTGCTTCAAACTGTGATTTTCCAGAGGGATAGAACCATGGAGAATTTTCAGATCATGTAGCTGTTGTCAGAGTATCCTTATTCATATACTTCCTTGTTTTGTCTTATTTCTTTGTATTGTATATTTGCTTTGTTTTTTTTCTTTAATTCTTAAAAGTACACTAATATCTTGTGTCCAAGATACCTATGAAATCTGTCTCAGAAGAAAAAGTAAATGGTGCTCTGTCTAAAAAGCCAAGAGTAGCACCACCTAAAGCTTATATGAAAATAATGCTGACTCTCTGAGGAGGAGATTTCCATTTCTCTTGGGCAGTAGGGTTTACAGTAGATGAAAAATATTACCCTTTATTTCTTGTTTATAAAATATCCTGTAGTATGCAATTGTATACAGTATTTTTTGCATGACATCTCTTTTTATATCTGATCTTACATTTCTGATATGCTTCTTGTGAGACTCTTCTAATAATTTATGTATTTTTAAATGCCTTAAATATAACAAAAACGGATGCTGTTTCCTTTAAAGTGCCCGAGGTGCCAGAGAAAATTCCAGAAGAGAAAGTACCTGTTGCTGTGCCTAGAAAACCAGAACTACCAGCAGCCAAAGGTATGTTGCACCCCAGATAGATAACTAAAATTTGGAAGAGAAAAAAATCTCTGCCTTGCTTGTGCAGACTAGTTTTTGATTGTTTGTTTGTTGGGTCCTCTTACTTTTCTTCTCTGTGCCCAAAGTTCTATATATCCTACAGTTCTGGAAATTCTTCTTTTTGAATCATAGCTATAGCTGTAATCAGTGTACCAGGGTGTTAGAAATACTGATGTGGCTGGGCAGAGATCAGACTGATACTTGAGAACTCAGCAGAAATCTTAAAGGAAAAGAAAGGACTTCTATGATGTGAATTACTCCTAACTGACAGTGAAAAATTAGTCCCAGAGAGAGAGTTTAATAATTTCAGAGTGTGGAGTAAGTGGTAGAGATGTCAAACACAGGAAAAAACCCTCTGTGCATAGAGGAAATATTGATACCACGAAGTCATCATGCATAGAAGAATTTGACAAGGAATACAGAATGGCCAATGGCAGCCTTAGTCAAATGAAGATTTGGGAAGTGGTTGAATAAAATGGAAAAATAATGTAATGTAGAAGAAATTCCAAAAGTCTCAGAGTAGTTTCTTCAGACTTTACAGAGACATATAAAACCCCAATGAACATGTCAAATCAATGGCTCCATTAAAAACCTCCTTACTTTGCAATTTCTAGTGAAAAGTTTGAACATAGCTGTAAAATTCCAATTGAAAATAATCTTTCTTTAAAGTGCCTGACGCATCTAAGGAAGTAGTTGTAGAAGAGAAAATCAAAGTTGCTGTGCCTAAAAAGGCAGAAGCACCACCAGATAAAGGTACTTGTAATTAATAAAACCAAGGCAATAATTTGTATTATTTTCGGTGATAAGACATTTTGATATGCCCATCTTTCTATCTTATAAACTGCCATTTTGAAAATTCATTTTTGAGAGCAGCCTCTCTACTCCCCTCAAATTACTCTCAATCAAGACTGGGAGCAAAAAGCCTGTTTGGTAAAGATTCTTATGTTTAATTCATGTCACTTGGTGTCCTTTTTGTTTGCTTCTTTTTCCACTTTAATGTTATTTAAATGTCTTTATATTCTTAGTATTAACATAATTGTTAATTTTAAAGTGCCAGAAGTGCCCAAGAAAGTCCCAGATGAGAAAATACCAGTGGCAGAGCCTAAAAAACCAGCAGTTCGACCAGCTAAAGGTACTTGACATTGTGACAAAATTAACAGATTCAAAAATTTCACGCTTTTACTGTATTAACACTATAGAAGATAGTACCCAAGACCTCTGTTAGAATTTTCTTCTGTTATCAAAAGTTATTTGAGTGAACAAATGTGTTGTGTGAAAAAAATACAGCTTGTTGTTTGGTGTTCTCACTAACATTGTTCTGCTACTATGCTTTAATGTTGCATATGAAATTAATTATTAAAAGTTATTAATATTTTTCAAGTGCCTGAGGTACCACAGAAAGTGATCCCAGAAGAGGTTTCAGTTAAAGTACCAAAGAAACCAGAACCTCCACCAACTAAAGGTAACTGCTGTATACAATTAATGAAAGAAAACCCATTTTAATATAATGGTAATTTACTTTTACTAGAAATGTTCTATAAGATATTTTTGTTGTTTAAATTGTAGTTTTTGCATCTGTACCTCAGTGAGACATCAAAAAGTACTTTCTGTAGGCAAACAAAAAAGTTAATATTCATATCCAAAACCACTCATGCTTTTGCTGTCCTAGAGATTTACTTTTTCTTAGTGTCTTAATGCTGCAGACATATGCTTGAATTTCATAAAAATTAAATTAATTACTTTCTTTAAAGTGCCTGAGGTGCCCAAGAAAGTTGTTTCAGAAGAAAAAGTACACATTGAAGTTCCTAAAAAACCAGAACCTCCACCACCTAAAGGTAATTTTCAATACTGATAAAATTGTACAGCAATTTTAATTTGTTTCTCTAAATATTAGTTTTAAATTTGTATTATCATCTTTTTTTATATTCTAATATTTATAAATGTTACAGATTGTGTTGTCTTCTTCACTTGTGAATAGCTCCCAGTAAGCAACAATGGCTATAAATGGTGTGCATCAAGCAATATGAAAAAAACAAAGATTATTTATTAGGGGGGTTTATTTATTTTCTTTTTCTGATTCTGTTTAATGATTTTCATCTTGGAGTTATTGTTACCTTTTTAATTCCCATTTTTCAAATTCCTGAAAGTAAACCAAATAAATATCTTTAAAGAACCTGAGGTGCCAAAGAAAGTTGTTCCAGCAAAGAAAATACCTGTGCCTAAAGAACCAGAACCTGTAGTTGTCACAGAACCAGAGGCTGCACCTGAAGAACTAGAACCTGAGACAGGTAAATCTCAACTAATAAAATAACAAAAGCAAATCCTCTTTTCTTTAAACTTTGATTTTCCAAGCCTTCACTTTTCTGAGACTCTAAATTATACCTGTTGTATGTATATGCATATGTGTGTGAAATAGACATACATGTGTCTTTTTGAAGAGTAGTGACAAATCTTGGATGTCTAAATTGCCTGTATCTTAAACTTCATTTCATCTTAGTATTTTAGATTATTCTTCCTGTTCTGCTACTTGGGTTCATGAAAACAACCGCAGTTAATATGTTTAAAGTGATAATAGTAGAAGAAAGTACTCATTCTAGTAACTTAGAGCAGAATTTTCTTTACCAAGAAAAATTATATGCCATCACTGCTAATTCTTGAAAGAGTCTTATTATAAGAGTCTGCTTACCACCTGCAATGTTATTAATATCTTTTGTCCTGTCCATTCTTGTTTATAATTACCGTAGATTTTACTTATAGCTTAAATTATACTATCCGTGTAGGTATATGGGATCATGAGGCTTGGGGTACATTTGTACATTTGAGAGAAAAGGGAAAAGAGCCAAAATGTGGTATATATGTCATTACAAAGGCCAACATAAATGACTGATACCTGATACGTTTTTAATTTTTTGTTACAACTGTGGGTTTATGTTTTATGATTCACTTCAACTTGGTATGCTTGTCAGTGCACTCCTTAAATTTAGAACTAATATCTTTTATGTACATGAAGTGGCCAAGACAACTGTCCCAGAAAGGAAAGTACCTCTTCCAGTTTCCAGAAAACCAAAGCCCGCTGCAGGACCCCCAAAACCAAAGCCTCAAGAGGTAAAACCTCAAGAACCAGAACCTGCTAGAGCGGTCCAAAAACAAAAGCCTGTTGTGGAACCACAAAAACCAGAGTATGTTGTGGCATCTGAGCCTGAGGCTATTTTGGCACCTCAAACAACAGAATATGTTGTGGCATTCCAAAAAGCAGAGCATCTTGTGGTGCTTGAGAAACAAGAGTATATTGTGCTACCTGAAGAACCCAAGCCTGATGTGGCACCCCAAAAACTAAAGCATGGCATGACGCCCCCAAAACAAAAGCCTGTTGTGGAACCCCAACAAACAGAGCCATTCATGGCCCCTGAGGAACCTGAGCACATTGTGGCACTTAAGGAGTCAGAGACAGTTGCATCAACCCAAAAATCAGAGCGTTTTGTGGTGTCCCCCAAGACAAAACCCTTTGTGCCACACCAAAAAACAGAGCTTGTTGTAGCAACTGAAGCAACAGAGTTTGTTGCAGATTTCAAAAAATCAGTGCATATTGAAGAGTCCAGAAAATCAAAGCATGTAGTGGCAGCTGGCAAGCCAGAACCTGTCATGGAGCCTGAGGAACCAGAACTAATTTTAGCGCTCCAAAAACTAAAGCCTTCTACAGTACTTCAAAAACCAAAGCCTGAAGTGGCACCTAAAGAACCGGAGCCTCTTCTCGCATCTGAGGAACCACCACCAGCCAAGCTGGCTGAAAAGCAGGAGAGTGTTGCTCTACCTAAAATACAAGCAGCTGCACTGCCTAAAGGTACCACTTATGAATAGGATCTCTTTTCCCTCTCTTGAGTGTATTATGTTTCACTGTCAGTTTTAAAGCTTAATACAAATAACTAAAAGTTACTAATATCTTTAAAGAGCGTGCAATGCCCAGAAAGGCTATCCCAGAAGAGAAAATTCTTGTAGCTGTTCCTGAAAAGTCAGAACCTCCATCAGTCAGAGGTACATGTTAGCACAAATATAAACACACCTAATTTTCTTCTCTTATTATCTTAACCTCTTTTGTTCTGCCTGTCATTTCAAATCCGATGTTTTAAATAATGCCTGCTAAACAAATCACACAGAGTATGAGTGTGTACCAAGTTCTTACTCGAAAACACATCTATTGTCCTGTATGTTTCAGTCTCTGTACTTATATTGTTGTATTGTACTTGTAAAATGAAATGCACTAATATCTTTGAAGTGCATGAGATACCTGAGAGGGCTCTCCAGAGGAGAAAGAGCACATTACTTTACCTAAAAATACAGGAGCTTCACTTACTAAAGACACATACCACCATGATTAGCATCATAATGAAGGTTGGTTGGTTTTAATTAATCTCATTTTAAATTGTTCTTTCACCGTATGCTCTGATATCTAAAATATGAGAGAGATATACCAGAAAATAATTGCTGTGCAGGGGTGTTAAATGTTTCCTCAACTAAAAGAATCCAAACATTTCTTATATCACTTTTTTAAGATTTGATTTCTTAGGCTATAGCAATAAATCAAGCAGATATTATGAACTCTTGTTAATAATCGATGCCAAAATATTTTGGACACTAAACAAGAGAATGGATGCATAAACTGTTGTTCACATTATTGGTACGGATGGTTTAATGCATAGTTCACTGGGACTTGGCAGGTTTACTGTAGAACATGATGATTTAAAAGGCCTTACCCAACCTAAATGATTCTATGTTTCTATGACAAAATAAGTAGAAGGTTACAGCAGAAAGTAGCAGTTTCTGTAAATAGAGCAAAATAATTGCAAACGTCTTTATGTATCTGTGGTGTCACGGGTAGCATTGTGAAGCAGAATCTTTTATTTAAATGGTTAATTATAATTTACCTGTATTTCGGTCATATGTCAATATTCTCTACTCTGTGATTTACAAAGTTTTTACATAGTCTGAGTAGCACGAAAGACCTGTGAAGTTCCTGTGAACAACATTCCCTGAACTTTGTAAGAGGCATTTCTTTTCTCAGATTAATCAAGATAAGAGACTTTAGAATTCAAATACTAAAGATTACTTAAAATACTCTAAAGCTGTACACAGCATAGATTGATGCGGTGCTGTATCATTTAATTCTCTTTAGAAAGTCCCAAGCACTGATCAGAGAAATACCCTCTGCCACCAATTTGTCTCTGAAATACAACTTTCCTCAAATGAAATACCACCCCACAATGATGAAATTTAAAGCATTTAAAAAAAAAAATAAAAAAGGAAATAGTTATAAGCCGCATCTAGTGATGAGAATGCAAGTGAGAGCTGTAATAGGAAAGAATGCGCGAAGCAAAAAAAGAGAGTAAGCATACAAAGGTAGAAAAAAGAAAGTAAAGTTCAGAAATAAAAACTAGTGAGAATTTCCAAGTTATAAATAAAAGGATGACAGTGACTGCCAAAACGAACACAGAACACACAGTCATGCCTGATATATGACTGGTACTCAAATACAGTGGAATTCCATGTAGTCCTTCAGCTGTTAGAAAGAACGCGTGTGTTTTCTATGTTTCTGCCTGACTCAGAAACAGAAACTAAACACAGAATTCCCAGCTCCTGCCTGCCATATCTTACACCCCGCTTATTCAAAGTGTTTGAAGCAAAGCATAAGTGATGACTGAATGTAACCGCAGCACTTTCTCAAAGAAGACTGCATGCATGTAATATTGATCATCTTGTTGTTTCATATACACCTGTACAGCCCACAAAACTAAAGCATACTAATATCTTTGAAGTGCCCAAGGTGCCCAAGAAAGGTGTTGTGGAAGAGCCCATACCTGTAACCGTGCCAAAAGAGCCAGAACCTGCACCAGTTCGAGGTACCTGTTGCCCTGTGCATCAGCCTGAAAGGGACTGGTTCTTACTGTTTTACACATTATTTGTCATGTCTCTTACCCTGCTCATTTGTGATTGCCTGAAATTTCAATGTTCTCTGCCTTGTACGTGTTCTATTGTTAGAATGACAAATATAAAAGGAACATGGAGGAATCTCACAATCTTCCTCATCTGTGTTCAGAATCAAAAAAAAGACTATAAATCGTAGCTGATATTTTTAATTTGGAGTATTATAGAAGCCCTGAAAGGTCACAAAGTCAAACCCACCATGTACCAGTACAGCAAAAGATTTGAAGAAAAAATAAAACAAAAAGAAATAGTAATGATGATGGGCTTTCCATTCTTCACACTGTCACTGCCCCCACTGCTGAATGCAAAGCACTGGCAGATTCATAATAAATGGCAACAGATAAGTTATGGGCTGAGGTTGATCCCAGGGAAAGGTCAGATCCCAGCAAGGCAGAAATCATGGTGCCTCTTCTCAGGGAGGGAAGGCTGCTGAGTACAGAGAGGGGAATCCTAATTCACACCTCACCCTGAGCAGAACCTAAACATAGCCAACAGTTTTCTCACAGAACCTACTTGGCATCACCGCCCTGTGCCTCTCTGTGGGTTTGTGTATATGTCCGTGAGTGACAGAGAAATGGGCTCAAGACACTGTGAGACCAGTTTGCTTACCTTCATGAGTGCATCTCTAGTTTGTGTTTCATTGTTCGTCTTCCTGTTTAATGTATAAAACTGACTGTTACTAATATCTTTGAAGCACCTGAGGTGCCCAGGAAGGCTCCTCGTGAGGAAAAAGTGTCCGTTCCCACTGCCAAAGCACCAGAGCTTCCAGCACTCAAAGGTACCTCTTTTCATGGATAACTTAACAAAGAAGATTCTTTATCTTCCTCTCTTGAGCGTTGTCCTCCCTCTCTTGGCCTGTCCCTCTCTGTCCCAGAGACTCTCAAGACTGTGCATGCCTGGTAAATGGTGCCGTATGTGCGTGTATGGTGATGAGCTGGCTGTGTGGTGATGTTCTGTATCTGTGCTGCCCCGGATTTTGTTCCTGTTTGGCATCTGCTTTCACCAATGTAAAACAAAACACACTAATATCTTTGAAGTGCCTGAGGTGCCTGAGGAAGAGGAGGAGGAAGCACCCGAAGCGGTGGCACCAGTTGCTGAGGCTGGAGAGCCAGAAGCTCCTCCAGCTGAAGGTACGCAGTGGTGTTCTGAAAGAGCTCGTTCTTCCTTCTATGTTTCCACAGTCCTGAGTGCTCTTTGCCCCTCTGTGTTCTGTGTGGTGGGGTGAGGACAGCTTTTGGTTGTGTTGTGTCCCTGTGTGCCTCTACATGCCTGCAGGAGAAAGTGGTGTTTGTCAGCAAGAGCTCTCTCA